TATATATCAATATTTGTTTGTTTTTTTGTTTTTTTTAGTTTTCAGACGTCTCAGTGTACCTTTGACTGATTTTCAGGTTTTATATCAATTCTTTAAGATGATAGTTTTGCAACTGAAACTTGAGCTTGAACTTGCAGTCTTTCAATGATCAGATGTTCATGTGGGATGCAGTGGTACCCTGTTAATGGATGACATTCTAAACACCTTCATTGCTTTGCATGTTATTGCCAATGCAAGTGAATAGAGTGCATTCTTTCTTCCTTTGTCATCGTAAGTAGTACTTCAGTTTGGAGTAGCTGGACTTTTATATTTGATAGCTCATCTCCTCCTTTTTGTGGTGCTGGGCAGCGCAGAAGTTGAACTGACACTTTAAAAGGGCTTGTGTTACTAACAAGAACTAGGGTTGTTTGGTTGGGGTTTTTTCATTTTTCTTATAGTGAAGTCACTGGCAGTGCCAAAAGGAAAGCTGAGAAAATGCATCCCTCTTTGACAGCGATTTCAGTGTTGAGCCTTTTGTTTAAACCCATCTTTAGCTGTGAATGTTGTGCTTTGATGTAAAACCTTGGATGTTTCGGAGAGAGTCAGGATAGAAATAGCCAAGCGCCAGCATAAGATCCCTAGAATTGCTGACATTTGTCATCGCTGCTGGCTGTTTCACTTTTTCATTCTGAGCACTTTTTGCTGATTATCATTACTGTAGTGATTTGGTCAAACTGGTTAATTTATGCAGTAGGGTCAACACATTACTTTCTTCTGCAATGAAGAAAATGGTTCTGTCCCGGGTGAGCTTCCCCTTCCCGTGAAAACACTGGACAGCCTTCCAAGCATCTAACCAGTGGGCAGGACAGGATACCCATCGTCATCTCTTGTAATTTTTTCTACCTCAAACACACAGACAGGAAGAAAGCAAAAGAGAGAAAACGAAATCATGATTTAATGCTTGAGCGTAAGTGCAAGATGTTGGGGGCAGTAAGGAAACGGCCTGCCATTTCTTGTATGTCCTTTTTGCAAGAATACACTACCTTGTTTCCACTTCTGACAGCAAGCCCTGTTGACACAAGGTGGTGAAGAGTCAACTGTGAGGTTTATTGTATTTTCATGTTTTATGTTTTTAGAAACAGGAAACTGTTCCGTGTGAAGCAGAGCAGCATGCATCGGTTTTGGTCCCTGGCTGGTGTTTGCAAGCACGTTGTAATGGCAGTAACAATAATTGCTGTGATGTAGTCACTGTGAGAACCCCCACGGAATGAGGAGGTCACTGCAATGCAAAGAGATTTTCTAACACAGCTCCTGAGGTGCACGGCTTCGGTCTACACTCGTGCCCCTGGAGAGCTGGGAGCATTTCTCTCAGACTTGAAGGAAAATATTCCATTTGAGAGAAGACTGAAGCTTCTATTTTTGTTTTCTCCAATGTTTTTTCTAGGTTTAACCTTCAGAAAAACTTCTCAGACTTAATTTACTTAGATTTTATTCTCAGTGATGGTAGAACAGTTTTGACTGGGCGCATTTGCATTGTTTAAGATTCTTTGAAAAGAGCATGTTTTGAATCTTCTATTTCTTTTGTCCCTTGCTATCAGGATGGCCAGTCTGATATTTTGTACAAATTTTGGACTGCAGTAACTCAGACACTTTCCTCTCAGTTTCAGTCAGCAACAGAGTGTAAGTATTCAGTATAAATGATTTGTAATGTGTTCTATAGTTGTTCTGAATCTCTCATTTCAATAAGCCCTTTCCTCATTATCTCCTCTAACTATAGCAGTGGTTCACTCAGTACGGGCTCTGTGAATTTAAAACTTTGTGAGTTTATAACCAAACAGGGTGATCCTCCCAAGCTATGGTTGAATTTTCAGAAAGAAATATTTTCTGCTTCATTAAGTAGTCATTATCTAATAACAAAAACGTATTTTTGCAACTGTAAGTGGAGGTAAAAATGTTTGGAATGGTACATTATACTTTCCAAAGTGAATGGGTTTGCCAAATTCAAAAATAGTAATTTGATTTTAAAGTCTTTTTACAGTCTTTTCTTGTTAAACACCGATTAATTGCAAAAATCTGATTTTAGCCATTTTTGGATACCTTCATAAATAGGAGTTGAGTTTCTTCAAAATTGTGTCTTGATTAAATATAGGTAAATGGCTGGTGTTCTGGCTGTACACAATGTTCTGTACGTATGTAATACATAAGTGGCAGATAGAATCAAGGAATATTAAATAAAAATAATGTATAAACATAAGACAATACCATTACCAGTACATGCTAATGCAGCATGGAATTGGATCATAGGTGAGTTTGGTGCTTTCATAAACGTATCTTTCATGTTCGTATACAGTGTATAAAGTTAATCTTTCACACATACAGATAAAGCGCGTAAGATTTGTGTTTATCTTTGTGATCTCAGCTATTGCACTGGCCCTTCAAAATTTGGTCCTTCCAGGCTTTACAGCAGCAATATAATTTTGAGGAACTAGCTGTTTGATTCATGTTCAGTGGTTGCTAAGTAACTAGATGATCCCAAAAGAAAATTTATTCATCTTGTGTTAAAATATATTAATTTTACTGTTTGCCTTACGCATTGCTTTAACAGCAGTATGTACACACCCGGAATCTCATATGTTCAAACTGAACATGTGCTACCTGTTTTCAGCACTTGGTTTTAAGATTGTAAAATTGTGACATCAGTTAATGGGATCAATCAACATTTCAGAAGTAAGGGAACTCTTACATTTTGTCAGCAGTACTTTGTCTGACAGCTGTTCAAAAATACTTTATTACTTATGATTTTTAATCATGTTTTTTACATAAATGTTTAGAGGGAGCAGTTGGATTTTTTGAACTGTGAATGATGTTTTTACTTTGCTACAGCCGAGTTTTGGGGAAACAATGCTTACAGCAAGTAGACTTTTTCATTTCAGTGGTGCATCTATATGAGAATACTCATCTTTAATATATAAATTCCAAGTGATGGAATCCACTGACATCAGTCACAGACCTCTGGATCATATAGATCAGAGGAAGACTGGACAATATCAGAAAAATAGTGTAAAAATAGGAATTCATGGCAGTTTGCAGAGTTTGATAATAGATCATGGTCTGCTTTTGTGAGGTTGGGACAGTCTTTATAAACATAGCTCTGTGACCTAAAATAACTCTGTGTTTGATAATAAATGTGAATCCTCCAGTATTCAAAATTAGAATATATTTGAGTTGAAAGGATAGGCTGGGTGAGATGGGGCAGATGTCTGGAACCTGAAAAACCTACAGATGAATGGACAGTGTTAATCTCCTAATGTAATGGGAAATCCATAAAGTACGGGTGATGTTAGATCAAGATTAACATCAGTTGATAAAACAGTTGTACATTTGTTTCATTTCCTGTTACTTGTGGCAAGCCTTTCAAGGCTGAAAAGAATGCTGATTTTTCTGCTGGCTTTGTCATTCCTTATTTGACAAGTTTAAGAGTTGCATTTTAGGTACCTTGTTTTAAGAAGTCTGTGTAAAAGCATATTTTTCCCTCATCAGATTTCTTAAGACTTTGGCTCACAGAAGTTTAAAATGGGTATCTTCAAAGTTGCACAGCCACACACTTTTCCCCATCAAGCTGTTAGAAAATCTCTAGATTAGAGAGTTCTAATCACACTTTGGACTTAATTGAGTGATAATGGTAATAATTAAGTTTGATACCAAAGTTTCACAACCATGATTAGTATCTGTATTGTACAAAATAAGGTTTCCATGTCCAGTCTTCCAATTGTGGATTTTATGCTGGTGCTTTAAATATGTACCTTTGTCAGCTGCGTTTAATGTAATAGCTCATGCCACTTTGAAATTAATTATAAATATTACATTATTAATATTGAAGATAGGATAATATATTTCATTCATTGATATAAATGCAAGGATACAGGTTGTTTGTGTGAATCAAAAAATAAGTTTGAACTTGGCAATGCTTATTGCTTACTGCTTTATTTTGCAGCCTCTATGTTTTTGAAACAAGCTTTTGAAGGAGAATACCCTAAATTACTGAGGCTTTATAATGACTTGTGGAAGCGCTTGCAACAGTATAGTCAAAATATTCAGAGGAATTTTAACACAAGTGGAACTACTGATCTCTTTGCTGAACTACAACAAATGGAAGAAGATACACAGGACATATTCATGCAAAAAACCCAAGATTATGAGTATGTATTATGAACTGTAAGGCAATAAATGTAAAGCTTTGCACACTGCAAGAAAACAGAATATTTTTAAGAGCTTAGTGTTGTTCGAATTGTCAGAGCGGGAAAATTTTAAAGGCTTTTTTTTTCCTCTTGCAGTTATTGATTTAATACTATTATAGAGCTGTAGGATTTTCGTTAGGTTATATAATTAACAGTATTGGATTGTCTTTCACAAAGTCCCTGACCTTGGAACTAGTTTTATCTTTTTGTCTCTTTGGGTAAAAAAAAAAGCAGAATGATGAAAATTCAGTTTTGTATGTGTTGCGATTACAGCAGTAGCTTTCTCTTAATGATACTGCAATCATTGGAGTGTGGCAAATGCTCAGTTTGTTATGATTCACAGTTTTAATGTTTATACATCGTAGAATAAACATGATCTGAGTGGTAGATATCAGAAAGATCAAACTGAAACAGGCTCATCAAGTCTATTAGGAGTTCTAGACTTATGTAAGACAAAATGAATATTTTATGTGAGATTTGTATTGGCTTAACTGTTCCTGAGCAGTCAGTGGGAGACTTATCATTGACTTCCATGGAAGCAAAGCAAAGAGTTCACCAAACTTCTGACAATGAGGTAAAATGTTTGAGAGTGCTACTGCTTATTCATTTTCACAAATAGAAATACTAAAGACTGAAGCTTAATAAAGGTAAATTTAAGAAGGTTCTATTTGAAGCTTTCTATATGCGTACGTATACCAGGAGGTACATTTTTTTTTAATGTATCATTGAGTACAAGCTATCTGCTAATAAAACATGAATATAAAAAGGTCTTTCATTGCAGTTCTGGATATCTTACTGATATTTTGCAGATGTTTTTAGCACTGTTTGTCTCAAGAATAGCTTGAATTAGGGATTCCATGTAGGTCTTACAGAAAGTGCTAAGAACTGGATTGAACTATACAGAATGGCTCTCTGACTCAGTACATGGTTCGAGTGAAAAGCAAGTTGTTATAGACCATTAAAATCTTTTCAAGTGCATATGTTTAAAGAGCAGAAAGAAAAACCAGGCTCAATACTGCGAAGTTTGTATGGTCTGGAAAGATTCAATGCTATTTTAATTTAAAACGTAGTAATTTTGTCTTATACCCACAGTCCAGAAAAGGCCTTGAAAGATTCACTGCAACAATATGAAGCTGCTTATCTGTCAAAATCCTTATCTCGACTCTTTGACCCCATCAATCTTGTCTTCCCTCCTGGAGGTCGTAATCCTCCTTCTTCTGATGAGCTTGACAGCATCATTAAAACTATAGCCAGGTATGCACGTATAATACATTACAAAATGTAATCTTCAACATGTTTTTTTCATAAGTTACAATTTTAGAAATGAGGCTTCCTTAGCAGTAAAACATTGATTACTCTTTAATTATAAAACAGGTTCATGTAAAAATTAAGTCAGGATATAGAATAGAATAGAGTGTTTCAGTTGGAAGGGACCTACAGAAATCATCTAGTCCAACTGCTGACCACTTCAGGGCTGACCAAAAGTTAAAGCATGTTGTTAAGGGCATTGTCGAAATGCGTCTGACAGGCTTGGGGCATCGACCAGCTCTCTAGGAAGCCTGTTCCAGTGTTTGACCACCCTCTGAGTAAAGAAGTGCTTCCTAATGTCCAATCTAAACCTCCTCTGGTGCAGCTTTGAACCATTCCCACGTGTCCTATCACTGGATCCCAGGGGGAAGAGATCAGCACCTCCGTCTCCACATCCCCTCCTCAGGAAGCTGTAGAGAGCAATGAGGTTGCTCCTCAGCCTCCTTTTCTCCAAACTAGACAAGCCCAAAGTCCTCATAGGACAAGCTCCTCAGAGGACATGCCTTCCAGCCCTTTCACCAGCTTTGTTGTCCTCCTCTGGACACATCCGAGTAACTGAACATCCTTCTTAAATTGTGGGGCCCAGAACTGCAAACAGTGCTCAAGGTGAGGCTGCACAAACGCTGAATACAGCAGGATAATCACCTCTTTATTATTATTTATAATTTACGAAAAATTTTATTAATTATTTTCTGTATTTTGTTTTTCTGGAATAACTGAAATTTTAATCTAAATTTTACTGTTTAAGCTTATAAAACATCAGGAAGAGAAACTTCACACATATTGTAAATGTCTGATATCTTAATTATTCTGACTGTGTCAAAGCGAAGATGATAGTTGCTTGACCACAAGTGATAATACCTGATGTAAATATTCTGTTAGAGCGAAACAGCAAAATAATAGATAAAGACAACTATTCCAGGTAGAATTTATAAACTGAGATGCTTAAATTAACAATGGTGTATGTTCCCTCAATAAGTTTTGGTAAGGACTGCTGTGTCTAATACAGTCTGCAAATGATGTGCGGTATTCGCAGTATGTGTATGTGTGTTCAATACTGACACTGTGCTTGTGACTGGGAGTTGCAGATGCTGAGAACATGCCTGTTGGTGTGGTTATTGATGTTATTTTTCTCCTTGCAGAGGAGGAGGTAAAACGACATGAAAATTATGAAATTTCAGCTGAGTTTTCCAGAGTGACCTTTAGCTAATGATGTCTGGGGCCCTGCAGAGTTCTCGGTGAAGGTTATTCCTATGTCAGGGTGCCTCATGTCTCTCCAGTTCTTGGGAGAGGTTAATCTCATCACTTGCAACATGATGGTCCTTGTGCTTGTCTGTTTTCAGTAGAGCATTTATGAATGCAGCCCCAGCCAGTGGAGATCTGGGGGGTTCCATGAACAAGAAATACTGGAAGTGATTTAGAAGTCTTTTCCTGCTTCTGTTTGTTCCCTGTCATTCCTTTGGGGCCTCTGTTACTATAAAGGATTGCCTAAAACACAGCTTATTAGTTGTGTCAAGCTAAGGCGTCCCCTGGGTATTTCTGCACAGCTCACGTAATTCCAGAGCTGAATGACTGTGTATTCACCTGTAATATTTGAAGGCTGCTGCCAAAGCTTGAATGTAGTTAATTGCAGTCAATATTTTTGAATGGCTTACTAATAGTGATTTCATACTGAAGTGTCATTCCTAAACTTTGCTCATTTTTACTAGAATAGGAACACTGCACATAAAATTCCCAAATGACTTGTTAAACTGTAAACTGAATTACGGTGCTTAGAAAGACTTGGTTGTATGAGTTACTCTCTCAAAATTGATATGCCACGTAACTACATATTCATAGTTATTTCTTTATCAATTCAATACAGCACTGTTTAATTGTTAATTAAAATTTGGAATCTTTGCTTCTAGTGAGCTAAATGTGGCTGCTGTTGATCCAGACCTGAGTTTAGCTGTGGCAAAGAATGTGGCGAAGACCATTCAGCTCTATGGTGTGAAGTCTGAGCAGCTTGTAAGTAACTTTAAATTTCTAAAAATGTATGATTTTTATGTATAATGTTCTGGTTTTTATAGATTTACAACATAACAGTAAAGCAATCTAGATAGACAAAACCTTTGAATTGGCTTTCAATTGTATTTGGAAACATTTTCAGTTAAATTCTGCCTTCAGATAAACACAATCTATCGATAACAGTGAAATTTGTCTGTATAACTCCAAATTGAATTTGCCATATTAATTTTAAAAAAAAAAAAAATTGTAGTTGTCGTTAAGTAAAATTAAGACAAATTAATTCAGTTTATATTTACCAACATTTGATATTCCATCAGTTACATGATGCATCATCTTTATGATATTAAAATCTGGACTATTCAAATATATTTTTTCACTGTTTGCAAGAAAATGTGGGCATTTTTTCCATATATTTATTATTTGCCATATATTTAACTGACCCTTGATTTGTTTGCATTTGTCAAATGCTTCCCATCATTTGCCATGCACTGTTCTCTAGTGTTAAACTGAATAGAGGAAGGATCCCCAGAAAGCCAGTGGATAGTACAGTGAATGTCGTTGTCATACAAAAAAATAATTTTTAAGATCAACAATTTTCTCATGAAGTCTGTTGCTGAAATTTTAATGTTTCTCTTATGAAGAGATGAAAATTGATTTTTGCAATATGCAGACCCACAAGAAATGACTAACTACTTGTATTTGTAAACAAGATCTTCACTTAAACAACATTAATTCTGAAAGCAAACTCAAGACTCCGGTGACATTCATTTACTATATGGTTCATTTAAAGAGAGATACTTGCTAACAATTTTTTGTAACAATTGGCTACAAAACATTGCAGCACTTAAGTTGTTGTCCATTCTATTTACCTTCTCGACACCTGCTGTCTCTGAATAGCTTTAAAAAAACCTGAAATTCCATAACACATACCTTGTTTACCATGTCTGTTGGATGAATTGTATTGGAAGTTTGCAAACTAGTGTATGGAACAGGAACGTGGGTGAAGCAGTCATGAAGGCCATAAAGAATATTTACAATTTTAAAATAAAAATATGTATTTACATTATTTTGCTATATATTTAGAGCATAGTGCTTAAGTTGGGTCTTCCTTTAAAGACACCGAATCATGGCTTCATAATTTCAGAGTGAAATTTGCTCATGAAACAAATCAGGATTTTTACTAGGTTGCGAGAGTCATCATGAGTAAAAAATATTACACTTGTGTCTGTATTTATCATGGAGTGTAGTGTCAAATAGTGGCATTCAACTGGAAAAAAAAAATGTATTAGCTGTAACTGTGAAAGCACCAGGGTCTGTTGTGCTCATCACCTCTGTTGGAGTTTGAATGTGGCCAGTGGCTTGTTCGAAAGCGTACATTGTTTTGTGATCAGCCAGCTGGCAAATTCTTAAGAAACCCTGAAAAAAAGGATATGTAGAAATAAGCTGACAAGTATATAGAATCATAGAATCATAGAATATAGGTATAGAATCAATTCAATAGAATCAATATAGAATCAATTCAATAGAATCATTGAATCGTCAAGGTTGGAAAAGACCCTTAAGATCATCAAGTCCAACCGTCAATATGATTTGTGGCTTTCTATTAGCTGACCTTAAACTAAAAGAATGTAGGAGTAAAGAGGGAGTTTGAGCCCTTGAACTCCCTGAATTTGACAACTGAAAATAAAACCTGAAACTTTGAAAAACTAAGTGACAGGATTAGTCAAACTGGCAGAATGAACATGAATGTCCTTCAAGAATATACCTGCAAATTGTAAAACAACATCAACTATGTATCACACAGCTACATTTTTTTTACTTTTTTTTTTTTTTTCCCCTTTCCTTACTGGTATAAATGTTACAAAATTAAAAACTGCAGGGTCTCAACACAGTTGCCAAGGCATAGGTGTATAGTGCCATCTTTAAAGCGGTGAAATATCATGCCTATCTTCCAGCTGCCTCTCCAGAAGGGCATGGCTCTCCCACTTGTCCTGTGCCATGCTTGCCAGCCCTGTGGATATAAGCTAGAACATCGTAACTTCTTTTTGTACCTATTTTTGGGCAGACAGATTGAGCCTGAAATGTGTACCATGTGTAGAACAGGAGCTATGTCAGACAGCACTGTTTCATCATGTTTTAGTGGTGTAGCCAAGAATGCAGTCTTCATTCAGTCTTGCAATCCAGCCTCCAACGATATCTTTCTAAAGCTGAGAAGGGTGACCATGTAACATTTCCGCTCAGATGCTTCATTTCTGATAGCTATAGTAGAGCAGTGCTAAAGATGGATATTTAATTTCCTGGAGGAACTCACAATTGAGTTATCTTCCAAATTAAAAGTAAACAAAAGAATCTCAGAATTCTCAGTGAAGGAGGGTTGGGGGGGGACACTTTTAAGAGTCATTAGAATTTTTTTTTTTTTTTTAACATTGTTGTAATATTGCAGGTAGATTTGAGTGGTGAAAAACTGAAATGTGCAGACCTAAAAATGTTGAGACATTCTGATGTCAGGGTTTTTATTTATTCAATTTCACAAAAAAAGAAATTGCAATTCACTAAGATTTCATTGCTGTTTGTCCAGTTAGCTTTAGATAGGACAAATAACAAGAAAAATGTTATTCAAGACTCAGAGATTTTACCTTTGAGTAAAAGCAGCATCTAGCAATCTGTACATATAGTACTAAAGCAAAAACAAGTAAGAAAAAACGGCTTCTTCCTGTGAATCCAAAACATTTGTTTGTGTTACTTGTGACTTCGTACACTGCTGGCTTTTGGTTTTCAGCTTTCCCCACAGCAAGAACTAGCTGTTGCTGTGCCTGAGACCTATTCTTGTATTAACCAGTTCAAATGATTTCAGAGAAGATATAAATAACCCTCTGTAGGTAGATACATTCTGCTGTTGGGTGAATCTTTAGCTAACCCCTTGCTGATGCTTGATGTGGTTGGTGCATGCCATGAAGCGTTCAGAATTATTGTCCTAATTTCACTCAGTGTAATTGCAGATGTTCTTACTATACAGAGTTTGAAGGGATAATTATACATTGCACTAAATTTAAAAAAATATTTCTGTTAATGTAAGAGTATTACCTTTCAACTTCACCACCCATCCTGTGTTTTGTTAGGTGATGCTGAGGAAGGGTGCTTGGCGTATTTTCTCTGTGCCGTTATTATTTTGTCTCTTCTTATTCACATTTTCCCTAAATCAGGCAGCCCAAACATCTTCCGAATGATTACAGACACCACGAGATTTCCATTTAGTCACCATTTCTACATCCTTCTCATTCCAGATTGGAAGAGAAATTAACAAATCTGATCATCATGTTATGGATAAGAGCAAAATTTTGCTTTTCTGCATTTGCACATTGTAATCTATTGCTTACTTTTGAACATAATGGCTGCTTACTGAGCCAGATTTTGTTCACTAGCCACCTTTATGTACAAGTAAGGTAGCCCAGATAAAAAAGAACACTAACCTTTCTCCTTGATATAAGAGTTTTCCAGAAGGGTCATCCATTCCCATTTGCAAATACCTTAAGTTACCCATCTTGATCGACATATATAACATGTTGTGCTCTTGTTTAACTGGCCACATAGGAAAACTAGCTCTTTCATCGAATGCTGACAAAAAGTACAGCGGAGGGAAGAGATTCATGAGAAACCAGTAAATTGCATTTCCTGAAAACAAATAAAAAGTTGAGTAATTTGGGGTTTTTTTGAGAATCCATGCTGCTTAACAAAAGATAGGAGCTCACAAATCTGCCTCCTAGAGAAATTTTTACCCATTTGTATAACCGATAGTTGAGAAGAGATGTAAAAGAGAGCTTATATCTCACCGACATCTTCATTAGATGCCTTTGACATGGCAGCAGTAATTGCATGGCAGGATCCTCTAGGGCAGTGGTCTCTAAACTTTTTTGGTCATGCAGCCCTATCAGTAAAAACTTTTTTGGTCATGCAGCCCTATCAGTAAAAACTTTTTGAGCATGCACCCCCATTATGTGTATATTTATTTATTTATAGATTATATACATGTACTATTGAAGTTTTGATATTTTGTTTCTGCACCCCAATGGATTGTCTTGCATAACCCCTGTGGTGCACGCACCCCACTGTGAAGACCACTGCTCTAGGGTAATACTCTGCAGTAATCTTCCATAATAAAAAGGGAACGGATTTTGGCTGTCCATTTTTGGACAAGATACCTGGTTGATTGCAGAAGTCTTTTAAATTCATGTTTGATTTTGGTCATATGCTACTTTAAATCAGATTTCTCATTTATGTGTATAAAAATGAAAATGATAGTCACCTGTTGATTGGTAGTGAGACAAAACTGTATTTCCCCAGTTAATTACCTGTAGTTTTGCCATTTACTGAGCTGAATTTTAAATGTACTTGAAATGTTGTGGTTTCTCCCATAATTAAAAATCTTTGTTGCAACTTTGCAATCACTATGTTTTGGGTTGCCTGTTGATAGAGCTATTCTCTTACTGATATTAGAACTGGATGTCTTGCGGAGAGAAGTCATGAAACATCGAGGGTTAAAAGCTTTGAAAGTTTACAAGATGTGTACTTTTGCCGATAAGCAGAAAAATAAATTGCAAGATCCATTGTCCTTATAGAGACTGAAGATGGAAGAGCCCTATTTGGTCATCTAGTCTATTCTCTTCCCAGAACAGGACTATTTCAAACTGTATTTATTGTTGGGGGTTTTGTTGCATTCTTTCTGCTTTTAGAGTGATGATTTCAGTTACCTCATATATTGTGAGTAGAAATATAAGTACTGTATGTTCTCTTACTTTTGTGCTATTTCTGTTCAGCTTGGCATGTGGGTGGATTGAAATACACTAACACACCCACCAAGTGCACGTAGATGAAATGTGTTGTGCTGTGAACATGAAAATGCAGTTGTTTAGAGAAGATGCGATTCTCCTACTTTTTGAACCTAGAGACCTCTACTAGTTTCCTCCCTAGAGTCACAGTCATCCTGTCAGACTATCTTTATT